AGAGAGAGAGAGAGGAGAGAGAGATAGAGAGAGAGAGAGAGAGACAGAGAGACAGAGAGAAATAAAGAAAGGGAAAGCCTGGAGGTATATATCTGAACATAAAAACTCGTGCTCACTCACTCACATACAAGTACACATAGAGTAAAAGAATGGTGGTCACTGGAGTGTGTCTTTGAGCAAGACACGACAACCCTAGCTCAAAATACAGGGCGCAGCACAGAGGCAACCGGCAACGACATGGTTGTAAATTGTTCTGTACTGGTGTAATATTGTGTATATATGTATGTATTTATACATGAATTTTTATCTGTGTACGTATTTATGATTATTATATGTATGTATCTATATGTATGTTTGCCATTGTAAACAAAAGTGCCCTTTTGGGACAAATAAAAGTGTAATCTATTTTTTTTTCTCTCAGCTTGGGCTGACGCTGAGAAAGAGTGCGAAAAAGTCGCTTTTAAGCAAAAGGGGGCTATCCCGAAAATTGCTGTTTCGAAAACATCGAAGTTAAAGTTTTTTCCCCCTAGTTCAGTTTCCTTAAAAGACGAGTAGAGTTTTCTTTATAATCTAACAAATATACACACCAATGAAACCAAACTTCTCCTATAGGTACGGCAATGACATTTTTTGGTGAAGGTCAAGATTTCTGGAAACCCCCGAAATCTGGGTAAGCCCGCTTGTCATTAAAAGCGACCAAATAATCTACATACTGTCGAGGGTGACGAATAATGTCGACAAGAGCGAAAAATGCATACTTTAACATAGATTTTACTCTGTGGGTGATTTGCGGGTGCTCTGGTGTGGTTTGCTCCTTCTTTCTTATCAAACATCTGCCGCCCTTATCTCTCTTCCTTCTTTTTTGTGTTTGTTACTCGCTTGTATCACATCTATTTTTGGGTACTTATATGACCTCATTGTGTTGCAAATGCCGTAAAACTCTTACTAAAAACGAAAACTGATTTGACTCCTCTATATTTTCCTCCCTTGTTTTCAGAGCCCCCACAATGCCACGTCACAACACAGACGGGCGGGCGGTGAGTCATCTCGCTACGTCACAGGAAACTCCCAGGGAGTAGTGGTCAACGGCGCGGGAAAATCCCAGGTTTCAGGGGCGGCCACCAAAGGCAAACACACGTACTACAACGCGGAGGTGAGGACTGCTTTTTTAAAGTTTGAGTTGAAATGAAAACATATCACACAATGGGAGTTTATTGGGGGAGAGGAGGCATGAGTATGACAGACGGGCACAAAGAACAGAGACAAAGAACAGTGGGGAAGAAAAGGAGAGGATTGCTTTTGGTTTTTGAGGAAAGAGATAAAACATCCTTACAATAAGAGCTTATGGGGGAAAGTAAGACGGACAGGCATAAAGAACAGAGGGAAAGAAAAAAAGAGGACTCCTTTAATGTTTGAGGAAAGAGAAGAACATCGACAAAATAAGAGTTTCTTTTTTGTTGAAAGTTTTACAGCACTTGCAACACAGTTAGAGCAAATACATGCCGAAGGTTGGAGGCGTTACCAGAGAGTAACAAACACAACAAATAGGGATATATCAGAAGGGTAAAATGTTTGATAGGAAAGAAGGAACAAACCACACCAGAGCTCCCACCACCCGCCCACCAAAAAAGGTTCGTTGGGAAAAGTGTGAGGGATAGGCATTGAGAACAGAGTGAAAGAAAAGAAGAGGATTCCTCTTGTTGAGTGTTTTTGATTTCTTATGTTAGTTATTTAGATTTTGTTGTTGTTGCTGCGACACTGATGATGAAGGGGGCTCTCGTGGCCTAGAGGTTAAGGTGTTGGCCTCTCATTCAAAGGTCTCGGGTTCGAATCCGGGTAGCGACCGAACAATTTTCTTATCTAAAATTGTCTCCTTTCACCCCCTTTCCTGCTCTCTGGCAATGTTCTGTTGTCTGCTTTCATTTCCACTCTCTGCCCCCACCCCCTCACCTCCTTTGCCCCCTCCTCTGGGCTCCTGACTCTTTCTGCAGCC